TCCTTCAGCAGGTTCTTGGTCTCACGCCAGTCCAGTCGCAGTCACAGTTACCGCCCGCCTCCCCTCTCCCTGGTCCCTCTCCCTACACTGGTCCCACGGGAGGCCTTACTGAGCGTCGTGCGCCTGAGTCACGTCCAGCGTCGCCTGTCCGTACTGCGCGCACCGGTCGTCGTGCCCCGCGTGAGCGTCCTCCTCCTGTCCCGGGCACTCACTACATGACTCTGCGTCCCTCCACTGCTCCGCAGCGTGTCCCGCTGCCGTCTCCTCCTGAGTCTTCGCTGCCTACTCTTCCTGACCCGGAGTCTGACTCCCGTCGTGCTGCCAGTCCCACTGTCACGCGTTTTCTCGCTACTGTCGTCACTGACCCGTCTTTTGAGTCCGCTGCTGCGTCTGCTCTGGTCGCTGAGCTGGTTGACTTTGCTTCTCGCTGTCGCCTGGACTACGCTGCTAGCCTAGTTGCTGAGTCTGAGTCTGCCTTTCCTCCGTCCGTCGGGGGTGAGTGTGCTCTTGGCACGGACGTCCTTGAGGACAGACAGGAGGAGTTTCACTGCTTTGCTGCTGCTGTGCCTCATCTCGTGTCCATGCTTGTTGCCCCTGAGGGAGACCCGGATGCACCAGACATCCCGACCCCGCGCTCCTACACTGAGGCGATGGCGGGTCCCTACTCCTCTCAGTGGCAGACAGCCATGGACGCAGAGATGGCTTCCTGGAAGTCCACTGGCACTTACGTCGACGAGGTTCCCCCTCCTGGGGCGAACATCGTCAGTGGCATGTGGATTTTCAGGGTGAAGCGACCGCCGGGTTCTCCGCCTGTCTTCAAGGCGCGCTACGTGGCTAGGGGCTTCAGTCAGCGAGAGGGAGTCGACTTCTTTCAGACCTTCTCCCCCACCCCGAAGATGACTACTCTTCGGGTGCTGCTGCACATAGCCGCTCAGCGCGACTACGAGCTTCACTCTCTTGACTTCAGCACAGCTTTCTTGCAGGGCAGCCTGCACGAGGAGATCTGGCTGCGCCGCCCTCCTGGCTTCACTGGGTCGGTTCCCCCTGGCACCCAGTGGAGGCTTCAGCGGCCGGTCTACGGTCTCCGCCAGGCACCGCGTGAGTGGCACGACACACTGAGCACGACACTTGCGGCTCTTGGGTTTGCTCCCTCTACTGCTGACCCGTCGCTGTTTCTACGCACCGACACCTCGCTGCCGCCGTTCTACATCCTCGTGTACGTCGACGACTTGGTCTTTGCCACAGCGGACAGAGCTGGTCTCGCCCACGTGAAGTTGGAGCTGCAGAAGAGACACACGTGCACAGACCTGGGTGAACGGACAAGCTACCTTGGCTTGCGGATCACCCGGGACAGAGCACGGCGCACCATCACCCTGACTCAGTCACACATGGTGCAGCAGGTCCTTCAGCGCTTCCGCTTCACGTACTCCTCGCCTCAGCCCACTCCTCTGCCTACGGGACACTCGCTCTCAGCTCTGCCTTCGGATGAGTCCGTAGAGCCGAGTGGCCCGTATCCAGAGCTTGTGGGTTGCCTCATGTACCTGATGACCTGCACACGACCTGACCTTGCATACCCTCTTAGCATCCTTGCACGCTATGTCGCTCCCGGCCGTCACCGGAAGGAGCACATGGATGCAGCTAAGAGGGTGTTGCGCTACTTGTGCAGTACGTCGGGCATGGGGCTAGTGCTTGGAGGGCGAGACCGGCCTGTTCTCACAGGGCACTCAGACGCTTCTTGGGCAGACGACCAGGCTACTCAGCGGTCGTCACAGGGTTACACCTTCAGCCTTGGCTCAGGCTCAGTTTCCTGGCGTTCTACACGCTCTTCTTCTGTTCTCAGCTCCAGTTGTGAGGCTGAGATCTACGCCACAGCCATGGCTGCCCAGGAGCTACGCTGGCTGACCTACCTGCTGACCGACCTTGGAGAGCGGCCTGGTTCTCCTCCAGTGCTGTACGTCGACAACAAGGCTGCCATTGCCTTGTGTCAGGAGCACAGACTGGAGCACAGAACGAAGCACATTGCTCTGCGGTACTTTCTTGCTCGAGAGCTGCAGCAGCGTGGTCAGCTTTGTCTGCGTTACGTGGCCACTGAGGCCAACACTGCTGATGTGTTCACCAAGGCGCTTCCGCCTGTTGACCATCAGCGCTTTTGCACTCTGCTAGGCCTTGTGCCTACTGGACCTCACTTGCTTACTTCTTGACCCTGCTTGTACTGTGATCACTATATATATATATATATGCCTGCATGTTTACTTTTGCTAGGATGTGATCACTGTATCTCTTGCTGTGTTATAAACCTGCATGTGAACTGGTCTTGTGACCCCTGTTAGGTTTGGCTATCCCCCTACTTCACCTATGGGGGTGTGTCAAATTATATGATTTATATAATTTAGGTTTAGGTTTTGTAGGGGTGTTTCTTAGGGGGTACAACTTTTCTCTCGTCACTTTTGTACCCCATGCCCCAAACTAGTCGACATCATTCCTCTCTCACCTTGACAAGCCCAACCCAACCTCAACCCACGACAGATCCGATGGCTCGACTACATGGAGAGCCATTTCACCTACCGCATCACGTATAAAAAAGGGGCAAATAACATCGCCGACGCCCTGACCCGACCGACAGTACAATCCGCTGCAGTACTCATCACCCACTCGAACCCGCTACTTACCGGACTATTCACCCATGGCTACACGACAGATCCCTTCTTCACAACAGGAAATCACCAGCAGGCCACGACGCAGAAAGGGGACTATTACCTAATAGCCGGAACCGACCGGATTTGGGTTCCCGCTTACCGACTGCTGCGTGAGCTCCTCATCCAAGAGATACACGATTCCAACCTCTCCGGACATTTCGGGGTTGATAAAACCCAGAAGATACTGCACCGTCAATATTACTGGCCTGATTCCTCTAACGACGTGCAGCGCTATGTGTCCTCATGCAGGGTGTGCCAAGCAATGAAGTCAACACGTCAGCGACCAGCTGGACTTCTGCAACCCCTCGAGCCACCCGAACGACCGTGGCAACAAGTGACAATGGATTTTGTCACGGGGATGCCAGCTGGGCCGACGAGCAACGACGTTGTTCTCGTCGTCGTCGACCGCTTCACGAAAATGGCGCACTTCGCACCATGCCGCACAACAATCACAGCCGAAGAAACTGCGCGACTTTTCATCTCGACGGTCGTGCGACTGCACGGCATCCCTTCGGCGATCATCAGCGACCGCGACCCCAAATTCACGTCCAAGTTTTGGAAGGAAACGTGGGCACAATACGGCACGAAGCTACAGTTCTCATCGGCCTACCACCCGCAGACCGACGGTCAAACCGAGCGGACCAACCAGACCATGGAGCAGTTAATTCGCACCAACTGCCCCGACCCTGCCCGCTGGGAAGACTCGCTCGCCATGCTGGAATTCGCTTTTAACAACGCACCATCCAGCACGACTAATCACTCGCCATTTTTCCTCAATCACGGGATGGACCCGGCTGTTCCAACGACGACTACACCCACCAACCCGGTTCCCCGTTCCCAGACTTTCGTGACGGAACTTCAGGAAGTCCGAGAAAAAGCCGCCGATGCAATTCGCAAGGCGAATATTACGTCCCGCAAATACACCAACCTTCTACGACGGGAGCTCATCTTGACAGCTGGGCAGCTAGTCCTTCTCGACACAAAGAACCTGAACCTGCCCGGCCCTGCGAAACTTCGGCCACGTTTTTGCGGACCGTTTAAAATTATCAAGATGGTGACACCTGTCACGGCGAAGCTGTTGCTCCCCGACGACTGGCATATCCACGACGCATTCCACGTCAATCTTCTTCGGAAGTTCGTGCCGGCCACGACAGACATCGCACGTTAGCAAGCGGTTCCGACCGCTCGCCCTGTCCCGGAGCCGACCTTTGACCCTTCGAAGATCCTCGCTCATAGGGTCCGCCTTGACGCCGCTGGTCGCCACGTGGATTTCTTGATTCGCTGGACGGATCGCACCAGCGAGGAAGACACGTGGGTACCATCCGCTTCACTAGACGCCTCGACGCTTGTTGCTGATTATTTGGCGCGCGGTCGTGTCTCGGCTATTGACTACCTTTCTTGAGGGGGGGGGGTGGTGTAAGGAATTTTCCCGAATTCCTTATCGGGGTTGACTGCTTCGCGTACAACCCGATTTTCGGAGTTCGCACGTTCGGCCGATTTCAACGCTGCCGAGGCTCCTCGCGTCGCCTTCGGCTTTCTCATCGCCAAACCTGCACCCAACCTCGTTTGCCCGAGGTTCTCTCCTAGCTAGCGTAGTTCTATATTAGTTTGGGCATTCATTGTATTCGCAGTTGATTCCGTCACAGCTTCGTTATTCGTTTTACCTGCGCACTCTCTTTTACAACTCATAACAACTACAGAGAAGAACTTAATGCAGGAACACATTCATCGTTTATTAAGAATGAGCAGACGAAATGGTGAATGACTTAGCTCCGAGTAAATGACACAATTGTTACCACCCATCTACAATAAATCTACAAACTGAGAGCATGACACATTTATATACATGAAGGCCTATCCCTTTCAATATGAACATGTTGAGAAGTGCAATGTTTGAAGGCAGCAAGGAAATCGGCCAGAGGTGCGTGGGACAAGCATTTTAGAATTTGGATCAGCGACGCCATACTAATACTACCTTTCATTTTCTTTTCTTCTTTCCTTTTCTTTCTTCAATTCTACACTACATCAGCTTACCCATTTCATTATTCAGTCATTCACTTGTACCATCATTTTCAAAACATATTCCACCAGACCTTGATTAGACTCCCAACTACCGTACCGGTACCACTCCTCGTTCCTAGAGCAAAGATAGGGTAACAAATGTGCACACGAGCCATCCACATCCTGTTGACAAACCAATCATTACCTCATGACAACAGCATCCTGCCAGTTGTTAACATCAACTGCTGCTGCAGGAGACAACAGATGGGCTGCACCAACCCACTGCAATCATTACCTACTGCATCATGACAGCAAGACCCTGCCTGTTGTTACATCCACCACTGGAGCAGGCAACGAGAAATGCGCTGCACAAACCGAATCTTTCACTGATTTAGATTCAGACAAAACACCGGGATTGTCAGCAGCACAAACGGACGATTTCATCATCGGCTCGAAAGCAGCAGCGGATACTCGGGATGAGGTGACGGCTGAGTCGAGGGAGAGGGACGACCGCCACAGGTGGTGGGCGGCGGCACTCATGCTTTGCGCCTCACTGGCGCGCATGGGGAAGGCCTGAAGGGCCGCTGCGTAGCGCTCTGGTAGGATGGGGGGAGGCATGGACAGCAGTAGCATAGAGGGTAGCATGGTGAGATACAGAGGTGGTGGGCGGCGGCACTCATGCTTTGCGCCTCACTGGTGCGCATGGGGAAGGCTTGAAGTGCTGCTGCGTAGAGCTCTGGTCGAATGGGGGGGGGGGCACAGAAGGCAGAACAGAGGGCAGCATAAAGGGCAGAACAGAGGGCAGCATAAAGGGCAGAACAGAGGGCAGAATAAAGGGCAGAACAGAGGGCAGCATAGAGAGCAGAAAGAAATTGAGAACCATTCACTGCACTCATGCTCACGCCTCACTGGCACGTATGGGGAAGGCTTGCAGTGCTGCGAGCATGGAGGGCAGGCAGTAGAGAGAAAACTTACAGTGCGTGACTTGGAAACAAACGGAATAATGAGAAACTATAATCGCACATACATGATACAGTAATGAGCAGCACAGATTGGGGGAGGGGGGGGGTTGGAGCACATGAAAATGGGTGGGGGCGGGGGGGGGGTGTTAAGAGAGGTGAGGAGAGGAGGGTGGGAAAAAGAAAAGGGAAGGGGAAGCGATGAGGTCCAGCTGTAGCACTCGGTTCTTCCAGTCCTTACCTTGGTGCACCGTGCGCGCATTCAATGCTTCCAGCCATCGCTACAACAAGGGATGGAGCACACACTCACCAAGGGTCAATGTGACGAAATCCAGCTGTAGCACTCTGTTCTTCTGATCCTCACCTTGGTGCAATGGGAAGAGGAAAGGGGGGGCATACTCACCGAGGGTGAATGCGATGAGGTCCAGCTGCAGCACTCGGTTCTTCCGATCCTTCAATTGCTCTGCACTCGCATGCACCCATGCACATGCCAGAGAGACGAGCCACAAAACCACACGTCGTTTTTCAGATGATGCGTTCAAACTTCATGTGGCCGACACACATGGCACACGGCACACAACACAGAGCGCAGAGCACAGAGCACAGAGCACAGAGCACAGAGCGCAGAGCACAGAGCGCAGAGCACAGAGCACAGAGCACAGAGCACAGAGCGCAGAGCACAGAGCGCAGAGCACAGAGCGCAGAGCACAGAGCACAGAGCGCAGAGCGCAGAGCGCAGAGCACAGAGCACAGAGCACAGAGCGCAGAGCGCAGAGCGCAGAGCACAGAGCACAGAGCGCAGAGCACAGAGCGCATATGCACACACGACGCTCATGTCACTTTTGTGAACTCTCACAAGTGATACAAAAATGGTCACACCTTCATCTGTGTCTTGATCTGCAACCGAGCCCCCTGCTGCCCCTGCGAGCAGCGACAGCCTGTGATCCAGATTGTCCCTCCCACTGTGCCGCCCCCAGGAGTGCCAGCGCCAACAGCACGCAGTGCACGGCACACAGTGAACAGCACACAACTCCTACCTTCGTCTGCATCTTCCGCTGCAGTCGAGCCGCTTGCTGCCCCTGCGAGCAGCGACAGCCTGTGATCCAGACTGTCCCACTGTGCCGCCCCCAGGAGAGCCAGTGCTCGCCGAAAAAGACCCTGGTGGGCACAGGTGAAAGAAGGTGGAGCAAGGTGGAACAAGTAGAAATAGGGACGGCTTGCATCTTCCACCTTCTCAGGCTGAAACTCTATACGGGATGGGTGGATAAACCAGCAACCATGGTTAGGGCATAGAACAGATGATGCCATGGCTAGGGCATAGAACAGATGATGCCATGGCTAGGGCATAGAACAGATGATGCCATGGCTAGGGCATAGAACAGATGATGCCATGGCTAGGGCATAGAACAGATGATGCCATGGCTAGGGCATAGAACAGATGATGCCATGGCTAGGGCATAGAACAGATGGTGCCATGGCTAGGGCATAGAACAGATGATGCCATGGCTAGGGCATAGAACAGATGATGCCATGGCTAGGGCATAGAACAGATGATGCCATGGCTAGGGCATAGAACAGATGATGCCATGGCTAGGGCATAGAACAGATGATGCCATGGCTAGGGCATAGAACAGATGATGCCATGGCTAGGGCATAGAACAGATGATGCCATGGCTAGGGCATAGAACAGATGATGCCATGGCTAGGGCATAGAACAGATGATGCCATGGCTAGGGCATAGAACAGATGATGCCATGGCTAGGGCATAGAACAGATGATGCCATGGCTAGGGCATAGAACAGATGATGCCATGGCTAGGGCATAGAACAGATGATGCCATGGCTAGGGCATAGAACAGATGATGCCATGGCTAGGGCATAGAACAGATGATGCCATGGCTAGGGCATAGAACAGATGATGCCATGGCTAGGGCATAGAACAGATGATGCCATGGCTAGGGCATAGAACAGATGATGCCATGGCTAGGGCATAGAACAGATGATGCCATGGCTAGGGCATAGAACAGATGATGCCATGGCTAGGGCATAGAACAGATGATGCCATGGCTAGGGCATAGAACAGATGATGCCATGGCTAGGGCATAGAACAGATGATGCCATGGCTAGGGCATAGAACAGATGATGCCATGGCTAGGGCATAGAACAGATGGTGCCATGGCTAGGGCATAGAACAGATGATGCCATGGCTAGGGCATAGAACAGATGATGCCATGGCTAGGGCATAGAACAGATGATGCCATGGCTAGGGCATAGAACAGATGATGCCATGGCTAGGGCATAGAACAGATGATGCCATGGCTAGGGCATAGAACAGATGATGCCATGGCTAGGGCATAGAACAGATGATGCCATGGCTAGGGCATAGAACAGATGGTGCCATGGCTAGGGCATAGAACAGATGATGCCATGGCTAGGGCATAGAACAGATGATGCAAGCGCATCCCAAGCTTGCCACAGACCTCAGCAATCATGCCCTCCCCCGTGTGCTGCAGCCTGCCTCTCTGGGCATACGAGTCCCCCAGCAGAGCCAGCACAGGTGCAGCAATTAGCATGCAATTTACCCTATGCACACCCACGGCACATGATGCGAACCGTCCGGTGCTACCAGTACATACCTCAGCAATCATTCCCTCCCCCGTGTGCTGCAGCCTGCCTCTTTGAGCGTATGTGTCGCCCAGCAGGGAAAGCACGGCTCCCATCATTGGGTTGAAATCTGAGCTATCTGGCGTGGTGGGGGCACGGTGTTGGAGGGGTAAGGGCGCGGAAAGGAGGTCAGGTGGTGGTGTGACTGAAATGGTGGTGATGGTCGCAGGTGTGTGAGCCAGCAGAGACAACACGGCTCCCATCATTGGGTTGAAATCTGAGTTATCTGCCATGGTAATGGCACGGTGTGATACAAATGGCGGTGATGGTGTATGTGTGTGTGCGTTAGCAGATGCGAGACTACTCGGCTTCCGCCACTGGGTGAGTATGAGCGATAGGCGCATGGAGGGGAAATGGTGGTGTGGTTGAGATGACGGTATGATTGACTAGCAGGAGGGAGAAGAGGTGGAATGGGGGAGGGAAAGATGGGACAGGGGGGAGGGGGTACGGGAAATGTGTGAAAGGGCAATAAGAGACAACCGAATCAATGCAGGGTGGTGAGGCAGGGAGGGAGTTACCATCCAAGGCCTCTGCCTCTTTGAGAGGGTAAGAGAAAGGGACGAGTGGAAGGGCAGTAAGGGAGGGTTAAAGTGGAGTGGTGAGGCAGGGAGGAATTACCATCCATGGCCTCTGCCTCTTTGAGAGCTGTTGTGAATTGCTCCTCTGCTGCCTTGAAATCGCTGCTCAGACCAAAAATATGAGCAGAAGAGAACAGCAGACACTCAGGAAAGTAAATGGAGCTGGGAAGAAGGCAGGCAGAGAGGGCAGGTGAGCAGAACGCAAGGGAGCGAAGCCGAGTGCAATAGGAAGGGAAAAGGAGGTGTGGTAGGGCTGTTTAAGTCGACCAGAAATTTGGCCGGGAGAGCCAAGTCTAAAGGGACTTAAACAGCAATGAGAAGTCTAAAGGGACTTAAACAGCAATGAGAAGTGTAAAGGAACTTAAACAGCAATGAGAAGTGTAAAGGGACTTAAACAGCAATGAGAAGTGTAAAGGGACTTAAACAGCAATGAGAAGTGTCAAGGGGAGCTGGGCGAAGCTTCAATCAGCAGCACCGGACACCGTTGTGTTGCACGGACTCACCTTGTCCCGCTTGTGTGAGCACCCCACAAGAATCAATAGTCCCACCCAACCCACCCACCCACCCCACCCCACCCCACCACGCACCCATCCGCCAACCCTTGCAGAACCCCACTTCCTGCTACACCCAAATCTGAGACCAAGAGCGCCTACCCTTGCTGCAGCAGCAGCTGCCCCCGGCCTGATAGCGCCCCCACGCGTTCCGCTGCCCCCGCACGCAAAGAGGGCGAGAGGGACGACGCGGTGGGTGATGGGGATGCGATGGAAGGAGAGGAGGGAGAGGAGGAGGAAGAGGGGGGTGAGGAGGAAGGAGGAGAAGGTGGCGAGGAACATTGGATAAGCTGCGAGTAGTATGACGTGGCTTGCTCCCATTGGCCGACAGAGTGCAGGTGTAGCGCCATTGCCAGGCGGGCGAGCCCTGTGGTTGGCACCGAGTTGCAGTCGGGCGGCTCGAGCTCGTCTGCTTCCTGAAAGTGCTCCCGAGCTGGGCGGCAGGAGTATGGGTGGCAGAGAACGGAGGGGACACAGAAGAAAAAGGTGACCACAAGTGCAACAAATTACACAAGAGATAGGGGATTATTTAAATTTAAAAAGCCACCTTTCCTAGCAACGGTTACCAGCAGGTCCATGACGCAGTTACCAGTGGCAATGTGGCCACACAGCTGCTCCACCAGCCTCACAGTCAGAGCACTACATTACCAGCACCACTGCTGCACGGTCACAAGCAGTGGGAACAGTAACACGGTTACCAGCAGCACAGCTAGAGCATTACCAGTGGCAATATGGCCGCACAGCTGCTCCACGAGCCCCACGGAGCAGAGCACTCGGAAACGCAGGAATGCCAGCCCTGGTGGTGCTGCTGACGCTGATGATGGTGCAGGTGAGGATGATGATGATGGTGATGATGGGGATGGTGGTGATGCTGATGGGGCGGGTGTTGGTGGTTGCAGCAATGCAGCGGCCCTCCCAGCAGACTCCATGGCATGTGCATCCTGGTGAGACGGGGGAGAGGGGAGACGTGAGAGAAGGGAGAGAGGGGAGAGAGGCAGAAAGAACGAGGGAAAGGGAGGTGCATTTAAAAAATAAGTTGAAATGAAGCAGGTTCTCACCACAATTCTAACTAACTTGACCTATAAGAATTGAGAAACGAGACAAGACGAAAGGAGCTGATGATTTTGTATAAAGGAAACGAAGGAAGAGCACCACCACCACCTCTTTTCTAATACATGTGCAGGCAGGACGATTCACACAGCACACCACCACACACTACGTTGCACCACTCACTGCACAACCTCGTCACAAGCTACAATCACTTGTATGAAACGAATCGGGCTTCGTTACAAGCACACTCACTGCGTGGCCGCTGAGGTGGATCCGCACCACCTCCTCCAACGCCCCAACTGCCACATGGCAAGCAATGATTCGCTGATCATAATTAAAAGAGCAAGTTGAAATCACGACATATCATCCAAGCCACACAAATAGCAGGCGTAGAATGAGATTACTGCTCAAGTGGGTCATTCATACCCGTGCTGGGTCATTCGTAACCGTGCTGTGCAGGACATACTACTAGCACAAGTGGCCAAGGCTGCAGAAGAAAACGATCCTGCGGCCATAGCCGTGGCCATACAGGAGGTTCAGAACTTCAGATGCAGCTGGCGCCAGGCAAGGTGAGTTGTTCATGGCACATTGCCTGACGTTAGCGGCCTTTGAATCTTCCCTGTGGCCACGGCTATACCACTGGGTTGCTTGCCCTTGCGGCCTTGGCCACTTGCACCAGTGTGACCTGCATGCACACCACGCACAGGAATGGACCGTGTACACGCCACAGCCCATACATGCCCGCCCTACCTTCCATCTCATCGCACCCTTCACCTACGCACCCAGCTCTCCCACCCCACCCCAGCGGCTCTCCCCACGCCCCTCCCCCCACGCATTTCCCCCATGCCCCGCCGCTCACAACCCTCTCCCCACGCAACCCCCTCACGCCCCGCCCCCCACGCCCCTACCCCTACGCCCTCTTCCCCCACGCCACGCCCTCTCTCTCTCTCCCCATGCCGTGCCCACCTCTGTCGCACAGCCCTGCATCCCCCATCGCTGCCACCTCCTCCAACGCCTCCACTGCTCCCGTGCTATCATGGCTGTGGGGGGCCGAGAGCATGGACAAGGGAGTGCAGAGGCGGGCGGCCAGCGGGAAGATGCGTCAAGGGAAAGGGGGCGGAGGAAGGGGTGCGGTGTCAGCGGCGCAAGAAAAGGGGTTCAGAGTAAGCGGCGCGAGAAAAGGGGTTCAGAGTAAGCGGCGCAAGAGAAAGGGTTCGGGGGAAGGAGTGCGGGGCAAGGGGTGTGGGGGAACTTGTGCGGGGGAAGGGGCGCAGGAAAGGAGCGTAGGAGGAGGGGCGTATAAGCAAACACACACTCTCAGGTGCAGCATGGCCATAAAGCACACCAGAGCCGCTGGGCTGCTCTAAGAGTCGACTCAAAACCAAACCCCCAGTCCGGGCCAGTTTATGAGTGAACGTACACTCTTGAGACGTCTCAAAAGTCGTCTACTTACACACGGATTATGAGTGAACGTACACTCTGAAGTGCAGAGCGGCTTGAAACAGAGCAACCGCGCTGCCCTTTCTGCCTACTCACTCACACAAATCACCCCAAACCATTCTGAGAGCCTGAGAACGCAAACCCCAGGCCAGCTTAGTAGCAGACGTACACTCTGAGGTGCAGTGCCGCCTTGAAGCAGCGGAGCAGCCGCGCTGCCCGCATGGTCGACTCGAATGTCGAATCCCCAAACAGCCCAGTTCAGTCCCCCTCAAAATTCAAGTCCCGAACCAAACCCTCAGGACGGCGAACGTACACTCTGAGGTGCAGCGCAGCCTTGAAGCGCAGCAGCCGCGCTGCCTGCGATGCTGCTGCCTGCCCGCCCTGCGCCCTCAGCATGCTCGCCCCGTGCTCCACCACCCTCAGCGCCTCCTGTGCCGCTGCTGCTGCACACAAATGAGTGGAAACGAGCAGATGGAGATCATCAAGGGCAGGAATCAGAACGCAGCTACACACACCACTCCCCCACCTATCTCTCCCCCAATGCTCCTACTGCCCTGCCTTAACCTGCCATGGTCAAGACACAGCAGATGAGCCGAGAAGAGGGATTTCCTGAAACAGGGAAGGAAAGACAAGGCGACACGGCAACAAGGCAAGGCAGACAAGCAGAGCAGAGGGATCCCTAAACCTCTGAAGCACACATTTTCTTACCGTCGTCTGTCCCTTCCCTCGCGAGACACGTATGCGCGAATGCAATCATGTCATCCGCGAGACACGTGCTGCCAGGCAGGCTCGTGAGGCGCGGAGCAGAGCAGACATGATCCCTCGACCTCTGAAGCTCATCCTGACTCACTCACCATCATCTGATCCTTCCCTCGCCAGGCACGTCTGCGCGAACGCAATCATCTCATCCGCGAGACTCCGTTGTGACCCGCCTCCTGCCGCTTCCGCGTCATCCCCGCTACTCGCTGCTCCTTCCGCGACATCCCCGCTGAAAGCTGCTCCGCTACGCACAGCTGGAGCCGCTGCACCCGCAGAGCTGGCAAAACCAGTCGGGACTGCGGAAAGACGGGAAGCGGAGGCGAAACTTCTCGCCCCCTTTGTAGGTAACTCGTTAAGAGCACTGCGATGGCCGGTTGTGAGTGGAACAAGCGGAGCGCACGCCTGGTGCGGTGGAAGCGGATTAGCAGCTAATCTAGCCGGAGAGGGCGACTGCTTGCCGATGAAAGGAATTTGCCCATCAGATCTGACGGCGCAGGCAACCAGCCGCTGGGCGAGATCCGTTCCAGGATCGAGAGTGGCGTGAGCGGGTAACAGGCTGTTACTTCCTGAAATAATTTCAGCAGCATGTGACGATCGGCCCAAGGGTGCCGAAGATTCGTGACAATCGGCGCTGGTGCTCTGCTGATTCCAGGCATGCGCGGTCCCGTCATGGTTGCTGCAATTGTGAAGGCACGACGAGAGGATCGCGTAGAACGGTGACGGTAACGAGGGATTTGACTGTATCAGAAGCAGCCGGCTGGCAGATTTGGCGGTCGAGCGCGAAACTGCCGCTGCTGGAACCATGATTCGAGCTGTTACGCTCCAAGACCACGTGGCTATTGGAAACTCTACGGCTCAGAGCGCGAAGCGCTCACGTCGCTTCGAGACGAATCACTAGTTTACGAGAAAAGTCGACCTAGCGAAGCTCACGCACGAAATGCCTCATGCAAGCTCTGACGCTGAAATTCCTCTTGACAGTGTCAACGTTTTCCTTTGAGATATTGGCTGCTGCGGTTGTTGCTTATGAGCCTCGGGCTGCGGAGACTGTAAGATGATTCGTTATTGGTCAGAACTCTGCATGTTTGTAGAGTATTTTTAAAGTACACCAGCCTCGAAAAAATGAGGAATCAATCTTCCACCCTTTGTGGAAGCATCGGAAAAGTCCTTGCGGCCACCAGAAGTGGTGACGTGGCAGTTGCGTGCTGGTTTGGAAGCGAATCGAACCTTCTGGGCCGCAAAAATGTGACGCAAATTTCTGATTCCCGTATAGAATCATCCACCTACAGTAACAAATCTGGTGCGTATAACGAAAGCCCCTTGGTTCGCCTCGTTCCAACTCTCCTTGCCCTATGGGCCATGGCTCCCCTGCTCCTAGTTAGTCGAATTCATCAGTCGGATTTGCTCATTTGCTGTGTGTTCAGCCTGATCGTCGGCTTTCTCGTTCCACCTCTCGCTCCAGCGTTCTCGTTGCAGCGTCTCTGCCAGTCTCTGGCCTGAAGACTCTTCCTGGCCAGTGCTTCTTGCCCTTGAACACCTGTTAGCTCTTCCAGATCGACTTAACCTCTTATCAGTATTCGCCTAATCGTGTCCGTTCATTCTAAACATTTTCGATCCAACGTCCATTCCGCTTCCCATCCTATTCTCCTCTCCACGTGTCGGATCCGATCGTTCTCGTGTCGATCAGGCGAATCTGGTATCTAGGGGTTTCGGATCAGCGCTGCAGCCATGTTCAGGAGCTTGTTGCGAGTGTCGCCGGCGGTTCGGGCTGCTGCAGCCCGATCGTCGACCAATAATGGGAGCGCCAGCCACAGGTACGACTGCAGTTGATCGAAACCACTAAACGACTGCGTGTGATCAAGACACTGAAATGAAACATTGGATCGAGGCTTTGAGACTTCGCGAACGATCTAGTATCGTTCGGGATCCCAGCGGCCTCATTACTTCCAACAACAGTGGTTTCAGAATCATGACTAGCCTGTCGCTCGGCTCCATGGCACCAGGCCCGTCCATGAACCCACGTACGCCCTGGTGTTACTAGGCATATTCATCTCTAGACATGTCCGTGACCAGATATGCCCATGAGTAGGCATTCGCTTTTGGCCCGCTGGTTTTTCTTATCCATGGCAACGTGCATGAATCTACGCGTTTGATCTCGCTAAACTATCTGATCGCTGATCGCTGATCGCTGATCGCTCTGACTGTCCTGACGTCTCTTATTTAGAACGTAAAGCCCGTCCAGATGTCTCTCTCGCCGTTGCTTGTGCTCTTCATCGCTCGTTCCTGATGGTTGTAAGAGAGATCCGAAGTCTCCGTTCCTCTGTTTCCTGTGCGGGTATGCGTGCACTTCTTAAACATGCTGTTCGGCGACGATGCCATCGGCGCTGCTGACGGTGCGATCGATCAACCGACCGTGATGGATTCTCGTGCAACACGCGGGCGACGCGGTTTTTTTTTCCCTCCATCACGATCGTGCCTGCAACGAGCAGAGTCGCTCAGGTACGGGTGTTTCGGCAGCACACACCCGCTTCTCCCTCGTCATCCCCCCCCTTTCAATCACCCGTTTCCCCGTACAATCACACATCCACCCGTTCCCTTGTACAATTACACCCCACCCTTCTACACAATCACACTCCCCTCCCCCTCTCCCCCCCCCCCCCCCCCCCTCCTTTCTCCCTCTCTAATAGTAACACACCCCTGCCCGGAATGGTCCATTTTCATTCTCCTCCTGTGACACATCTGTGACGTTCCCCTCCCTCCCTCCCTCCCTCCCCCCCTCTCCACTCGTGCCTCGGCGCGCAGCACCAATGGCAGCGCGGGTTCGCGGCGAAGGACATCCGGTTCGGCGTGGAGGCGCGGGCCGCCATGCTGCAAGGCGTGGAGCAACTCGCTGATGCCGTGCGGGTTACCATGGGACCCAAGGTACGGCAGGGATGTGCTTACATCGCACGGGCCTGTGCCCTATGGTAGATGCGGTTACGGTAGCAGTCACGTGTGAGTCGAGTCGACTGAGAGTGCCTTGGGCGTGGAGCAACTGGGCGACGCCATGCGGGTCACCATGGGGCCCAAGGCACATGCCATGCCAATGTCATTACAAGGTTATCAACTCAAGGCACATGCCATGCCAATGTCATTACAAGGTTATCAACTCAAGGCACATGCCATGCCAATGTCATTACAAGGTTATCAACTCAAGGTACAATGGCGATGTGCTCACATGGGCCTATGATAGATAGATGATAGACATGCTGAAGATCCTCGGCGCTAGCCTCGTGAAGCAGGTCGCCTCCACCACCAACGACACCGCGGGCGACGGCATCCCCACTAACCGCCCTTCCCCCTCTCCCCTTGCGCTGTCCCCTTGTGCTTTCCCCATGTCCCCTCCTCTCCCTTCCTCTCCCACTCTCCCCCCACTTCCCTGCCCACCTCCCTCCACCCTTCACCCCCCAGGGGCGGCAAGTGGTGATAGAGCAGTCGTACGGCTCACCCAAGATCACCAAGGACGGGGTGACGGTGGCGAGGAGCATCGAGTTCAAGGACAAGCTCAAGAACCTCGGCGCCAGCCTCGTCAAGCAGGTCGCGTCCACCACCAACGACACCGCGGGCGACGGCACCACGTGCGCGACGGTGCTCACGCGCTCCATTCTGCTCGAGGGGTGCAAGTCCGTGGCCGCGGGCATGAACGCCATGGACTTGCGGAGAGGGATCTCGCTGGCCGTGGAGCGCGTGATTGAGCTGCTCAAGGAGCGATCCAGGCGGATCAGCACTTCGGAGGAGATCGCCCAGGTGGGTTACTGTTGGGTCAAAGGGGGGAATTGAGGGTCGTGAGCTGTGAAGTGACGGCTGGTCGGGGGGATGTATGGGGGTTTGACACCTTGGAATTTGAGGCGGGAGATTTCGATGGCTGTGGAGCGGGTGATTGAGCTGCTCAAGGAGCGATCCCAGCGGACCAGCACGTCGGAAGAGATCGCCCAGGTGGGACGCGTGGCTTGTAGAATTTCCTACTCGGAGTTTCAGATGGAGAAGTGGTGTTGTGTTGTAAGAGAGGTCCGAAGGAATGCCGCATCTCCTCATCCCGCTCCTATCCCGTCCTTGCTCTCCCCTTGTCCTCTGCCAGGTCGGCACCATCTCGGCCAATGGCGAGAGGGAGATTGGAGATTTGATTGCGCGGGCCATGGAGAAGGTCGGCAAGGAGGGCGTCATCACTGTCGCGGTGAGTGCTGCTCTTAGTTTTGCCACTTCTTTTAGCAAAGTATTTGGCGTGGTGCTTGCTGCTCAGGTTTCCACTGGTGAGGTCTGGTTGCATGTGCGATGGAAGCAGCTGACAAAGGGTGTCATGACTGCTTTTAGCTAAGCCCTGTCTTTATATGGTGCTGATTTCTTGATTCTCCACCACCTAATGGGTTTGTCTACTGACTATTTTTCAACATGTACGTTTACTGGCTCAATTGCAACAGGATGGCAAGACACTCTATAACGAGTTGGAGGTGGTGGAGGGAATGAAGTTCGACCGTGGCTACATCTCGCCCTACTTTATCACCAACCCCAAGACGCAGAAATGCGTGAGTTTTTCTCTGTCATCCGATTCAATACGAGAGGTCAAGGGTTTTGGAGTGTCGGGGTTTGGGGTTTCGGGGTTTCAAGGGTTTTGAAACCCCTTTTGTCTCACATACACATTTCTCTCTCCTTTCCGCGCCCTTCTCCCCTCCTCGCCCTTCTCCCCTCCTCGCCGTCCGCCGCTCCGCTCTGCCCCCCTCCTCCCCTTCACAGGAGCTAGAGAACCCCTTGGTGCTGGTGCATGAGAAGAAGATCGCGGGTCTCAGCTCCATTCTGCCCGTCCTCGAAATCGCCCTCAAGGTAACACTGCTCTCCCCCCTCCCTTCCTGCTCCCCCCTTCTGCCCCCTCTCCCTGCCCCGTCGTCGCCCCTGGTTCCCTCCCTCCACTGCTGCCCCGCCGCCACTGCCACCATTACCACCACCACTCTCACCGCCTCCGCCACTGCCACCATTACCACCACCTCCCACCACTTATAACCATTGCCAACTCCAATGCCTCCGTCCTCCTTCCCTTAATTTCCCCACAAACAGTACCAGCGCCCGCTGCTGATCATTGCAGAGGACGTGGAGAGCGAGGCATTGGCGACGCTGGTGGTGAACAAGCTGCGGGCGGGGCTCAAGGTGAGGTGATGTGATGTGATGTGATGTGATGTGATGTGATGTGATGTGATGTGAGAGCTAGCAGGAGGAAATCATAGGCTTCAGAGGAGAGGCGAATGGGTTGTAGGCTTAGATGTGATCGGCAGGGCGAGGCGATTTTTGAGGCGCCTCTAAAATTGAAGCCATAGGCTTCAGAGGAGAGGTGAATGGATTGTGGGCTTAGATGTGACCGGCAGGGCGAGGCTCTGGCGATGCTAGTGATTGAAGAAGTGTTTTGAGACGTCTCAAAACACTTCTTCAATCAGGTGAATGGGTGACTTATGAGTCGACTCAAAAGTCATCAGGTGAATGGGTTGTAGGCTTAGATGTGACCGGCAGGGCGAGGCTCTGGCGATGCTAGTGGTGAACAGGGCAGGGCTCAATCAAGGTGAGATAAATGCCTGTGTTTGGGCTGGGCTGAGTCTGGGTTTCTGAGGGTTTCGTGGTTGGCGTTGATGCATCTGTGTGTTTGCACCTGCGCAAGGGTGCTGAGGACTTTGGTGCTGGGGGGGCTCGGGGTTGGAGGATTTGGTGACTTTTGAGTCGTCTCAAAAGTCACCTTGGTGATGAGGAGTTTGATGCTGGGGGGCTCGGGGTTGGAGGATTTGGGGTAATCTGTTCAGTTCGGGAAGAAAAGATTTAGAGAAAGCAGACAAATGGCATCCAACAAACGAAGATGGATTCTTGTTTGCTTCTCCCTCTTTGCCTCTCTGTCGCCGTGCGTGCGCTGCGTGCGTGCCTGTTGCTTCCCATCTGGCAGGTGTGTGCAGTGAAGGCGCCCGGGTTCGGCGAGAACAGGAAGAACAACATGATTGACATCGCCACGCTCACTGGCTCCCAGGTACGTTGCATCTGGACAACCTGGCCACACCCATTCTGAGTCCACTCAAAGAACAGGAAGAACAACATGATTGACATCGCCACACTCACTGGCTCCCAGGTACGTTGCACCGTGAACCCCCCCTCCCTCTCACACACCGTTTCCTTCACTCTGTGTTCTCGGACGCCTCTCCTCCACCTCCTCCCCGTTTCCTCCTCTCCTTCCCTCCCCCTCCTTCCAACCCAACCGAATTCATTCAAAATTTCCGGCCTGCCAGCAAGCATCAGGAGTGTGTTTTCATTTCCTTTCTAACCCCGCTCCCCCTCCATTTCCCCTTCCCGTCCAAGAATTTACCCTTGCAGCTGATCAGCGAGGACTTGGGGTATTCGTTGGAGAAGGTGGACGTGTCTCATCCTCGTTCTCCCTCACACGCACACGGTCACTCACGCTCTCCCTGCTCCCCCCCTTTCCCCGTCCCTCTATCTGCCCCTGCAGCTGATTAGCGAGGACCTGGGGTATTCATTGGAGAAGGTGGACGTGTCACACCTGGGGTCTGCCAAGAAGGTGAGGGGGTGGTTGGGTGTGGGTCTATGTGTGGCGGGGGGGAGGGGGTGGAAGGGTCGGGGGAGGGGGGACGAGGGGGAAGGTGTGTGCGCATGTTCGTGTGAGAGGTGAGTCGGTTTTTGAGTTGACTCAAAAACCGTGTCATCACGTGAGGACCTGGGGTACTCGTTGGAGAAGGTGGACGTGTCTCACCTGGGGTCCGTCAAGAAGGTGAGGGGGTGGTTCTGTGTGCGTCTGTGTGGGGGAGAAGAGGAGGGGGTATGTGTGTCTGTATGCTCGTGGGTGTGAGAGGTGAGGCCTGGGGTGTTCATTGGAAGAGGTGGACGCGTCTCACCTGGGGTCCGCCAAGAGGTGGTACTGTGTGTGCGCATAGGTTCGCTCATGGGGTTAACTTCTGCAGGGCTCTTTGCGTCTATGGAGTATGTTCGTGTATGTAGGGCTCATTCAATTTGTGTGGCTGTGTGTGTGCGTGTGGCTGTGTGTGTCTGCCATCAGGTGACGATATCAAAGGACGACAGCATTATTCTGGATGGAGCTGGCGACAAGAAGGCCCTGGAGGAGCGGTGCGAGCAGGTGAGGAGCGGTGCGAGCAGGTAAGAAGGAACTCACAGCTACGCCATGGTGAGATGCGTTCAGTGTGAATAGCATGCCATGCCATGCCCCTCACCTCTCCCCATTCCACCCACTTCCCTGTCGTGTTTCTGTTCCGAGTTTCAGATCCGTGAGGCTGTAGCCAACGCCACGTCGGACTACGACAAGGAGAAGCTGCAGGAGCGCCCTCTTCCCACACTCACAGCATACACACCCCCTGACCCACATTCCTCCCGTTGCCCTTTCGCCTTCGCTGCTCCTCCTCGTCTTTCAGATCCGAGAGGCAGTGGCCAACGCCACGTCAGACTATGACAAGGAAAAGCTGCAGGAGCGCCTGGCGAAGCTGTCTGGCGGTGTGGCTGTGCTCAAGGTGGGCGGACATGTGGGTGCTGAGTGGTGCTGAGTGGTGGTGGCAGGTGCTGGGTGATTGGTGCTGGCCGGCTGTGGTGAGCAGAGTGGGTTGTTAAGAGGGACTTCGCACCATATACAGCTGCAGGGAGCGTGTGGTGAAGCTGTCTGGTGGTGTGGCCGTGCTTAAGGTGGGTGGGCATGTGGGTGCTGAGTGGTGCTGGGTGGTGCTGATCACCACACGCCGTCTTTCCTCGTGCCTGCAGATGGGTGGCGCCAGCGAGGTAGAGGTGGGGGAGAAGAAGGATCGGATGACGGGCGCACTGAACCCCTTTCGCCTTGAAGCCCAACACTAACTAGCTTCTTCCTTTCCCATGCCCCTCTTCTCTTACCCACGTTCGTGCAGATCGGCGGTGCGAGCGAGGTGGAGGTGGGGGAGAAGAAGGATCGGGTGACGGACGCTCTGAACGCCACCAAGGCCGCCGTGGAGGAGGGCATCGTGCCGGGCGGCGGTGTGGCTCTGCTCTACGCCTCCAGGGACCTTGACACCCTCACTGCGGAGAATTTCGACCAGAAAGTGGGCATCCAGATCATCAGAGACGCGCTCAGGGTGAGTAAACGTCCCTCTCCTTGAAAGGCTCACCCCCCCCCCCCCCCCCATGGTGTGGCTCAGCAGTGAGCGTGTCGAGATCCCTGGACACGTTGAGCACGCTCACCCTGGACCCTGGACGTTCACTCACCCTGAGCGTCTCTGATGATCTGAATGCCTCCTTGAGCGTCCAGGGATCAGGGACGCTCAGGGTGAGTGAACGTCCCGTCCGGTGATTGTCTTGCACTACCGGCTTTGCTATATGCCTCTTGGGATCTTGACAAGATTACACTCTGCTGACTCCAACCTCTGTGTTCCCCTTACCTCCACCACGACCCCTCCCATCCCACCGCTCCATTGCCTCCTCCCTCCCCATCCCATCAGACGCCAGCGCTGACCATTGCGAACAACGCAGGGGTGGAGGGGGCGGTGATCGTGGGCAAGCTGCTGGAGCAGACCAACCTCGACTGGGGCTACGATGCTGCCAAGGGTGCGTATGAGCTACGGCTGCTTGGGTGGAAGGGCTGGCTCGGGCTGCTCGGATTCTTGAGTGACTGCAGTTGTTGGGCCGGGTGCAAGTTGTGTTTTTTAGTTGACTCAAAAGCTTGGCTCGGGCTGCTCGGATTCGTGAGGGACTGCAGCTGTTGGGTGCAAGTTGGGGGCGGCTGCAGGCAAGCTGCTGCAGCATAGCAACCTCAGCAGGGGCCATGGCGACGCCAAGGATGACTGTGCACATAGTTGGGTGCTAACTGTGGGGTGCTGTGGGATGCTGTGGGGTGCTGTGGGGTGCTGTGGGCAAGGTCATTCGCACGGCGCTGGTGGACGCTGCCAGTGTGCCGTCCCTCATCACCACCACCGAGGCTGTTGTCATCAGTCGCGACTTATACAATGACATCCACCTCCACATCCACATCCACATCCACATCCACATCCACATCCACATCCACATCCACATCCACATCCACATCCACATCCACATCCACATCCACCTCCACATCCACATCCACATCCACATCCACAAACACACCCACATGCACATGCACATCCACAGCCTTGCCTCACCCATGTGTTCTCAACTGTCCTCTTTTCTCTCCCTTCTCTTTACCACTATCCCCCCCCCTTTTCCCAACCCCTCCCTTATCCATTCCCCTCCCCCCCTCTCTGCTCCCCCCTCTCCCCCCCCCTCTCTGCTCCCCCCTCTCCCCCCCCCACCACCAGGCGAGTACGTGGACATGGTGAAGGCAGGTATCATCGATCCGGTCAAGGTGATCGGAGCTGGACTGACCCACCTCTTCCGAATGTCCCTTTCTCTTGCCCTCCACCCCGCCCACACCCCCCCTCCCTTCACCACTCTCCCACCAGGCGAGTATGTGGACATGGTGAAGGCGGGCATCATTGATCCTCTCAAGGTAATCCGCACGGCGCTCGTGGATGCGGCCAGTGTGGCGTCCCTCATGACCACCACCGAGGCTGTTGTCGTTGACCTTCCGGAAGACCCCAAGCCCAGCCCCATGGGTGGCATGGGCGGCATGGGTGGCATGGGCGGCATGGACTACTAGGTTTGATTTTCTACTTGGTGCTGCTGGTATCATCACTCAGGTGGCAGTGGGTGGGCTTTGAGACTAAGGCCTAATTAGGAGGTGGTTTGGGATTGAGTGGTATTGTATACGAGGATGGTTCATGACAAGCAGTGTGTTGTGCTTAGGAGTTAAAAGCGACTGCACTTTGCAGGGTAGGATTTCCTGTAAATGTGCACTTACAGTAGCTGTGCCCTGCCCTTAGTTGGGTAGGGAGAAGCTGGCTCCAAGAGGATGAATACCTCTTGTTTATAAGAAGTGCAAAATCGTGTGGATGGAATCCAGATCCAGCGTTTGATATATGGATTTGTCAAAGACCTTAGGCAATCTGATTGAGATTACCGTCACCCCCCGGATATACCCCCATGGGGGGCAATAATAAAACAGGTTTTTTCAAGGGGGTGGGCTTATAATCGAGTAAATTTATAAGCGCCGGCGTTTACAAAATGACATTCATATTTTTTATATTGTTTAACACCAAACTGTAGGTCTCGTGCTTGCCCTTTCAATCGAGTCGAATTTACATGGGGTCGTCTGTGAAATTCTCGCGCGCGCTGGGAGACACACCCAATCTGACTCACATCCAGCTCCTGACAGCTCCTGCTGACTGGACCCGCATCCAGTGCAGGGTCCGAATGTGAAGGGAACCGAATCTGCAACATATCTGCCTGCTAAAGTAAAAATCATTACAACGTTTTGTACACATTTCAAATTTTAAAGTTTACGTGCGCTTATAATAAAACTAGTTTTTTCAGGGGGTGCGCTTATAATCGAGGAGGGGATATAAGCGCCATATGCCAATTAGAAGCGCCAGGCGCTTATCCTAGGGTGGCGCTTATATCCGGGGGGTGACGGTATCTGGATTAGCTGTTAAACTAAGTACCAATAGATTACTTGTAAGGATTTACAAACCTTACTGAGGCACTCGTTATCGAGGTCATCCCGAGGGTCACGCGACGAACCTGTCCTTCCTATTTCGTCGCACCGAACCACTCCCGAGTCGCCTCCGCACCAATCGCAACCATCACCGAGCCATCCTCGCCCAACCTCTCCGCCTAGCTATGACTTCCCCTATTTAGGCCTCGTCACTTCCATTGTATGGTGATTCAGTAATTCAGTACTCAATCATTCTCGATATTCGTTTTACTGTGCACTCTGCAAGTTGATTCATAACATTACTTGTGAGGGTTTGGTTTTGGACTATGCGCATTATAATTATTCGTCCACTCACCACTTCGAACCGCTCTGATGTGCGTTCAGCAACATAACCAGTGGTGCTGAACTGAAACTTCAAAACAACCGTTCTGATATGCACCTCATCCAATCAGAGCCCCGTCGTGCGACTCGATCGTTATTTTTGCGGGGCAATTTGCCAATATTTCATGTAGCGGGCAACTCAAATGCTTGGTGGTGACCGTGTCAGGGGGAATTGCAGCTGTCAGACCTTTGGCCAAGGCAACATCGCAGAAACAACCACCCACTTTGTTTCGCCTTCCGGGCCAGCTGGAGTTTTCCTCCCACGCTCTTCAGGTCATTGGGGCAACCCAGCCAGCTCTCCTCGATGCGAATCGGGCCAGACGAGCCGCCTGGTTACCAGCATTTCGGCCGGCCAATCCCTGCTTGAATTCATCCACATGCACCGCGATTCGTGTACCCATACGGTGTTAGCCTGCCCGGGTCCAAGTGTCCAAGGCAACGTCCTGGCTTTGTGCGACAGTGAAGCACAGTTCGCCACATCTGACACCAAGAGAAGCGTCGCAGAGGTTTCAACGAAGCCATTCCCGCCTGTCGCAAAGCGATCGCAGGGCTACTTAGCGCTGCGCCAGCTGGTCAAGCTCCCCCACCTTGCGAAGGTGGAAAACCCCATCCACCAGCAAATCGTGTGGAGTGGAACTATCAGCGAGCCGCGCATTCGGCAACGGCATTTCACACTCACATTTGTTCAGCTCAACTCGACGCGAGCCTCCAAGTCTGTTCCAGGCGTACCTGAATCGCGCTATTGCACCTTCATCCCACTAGCCCTCATCAATTAGCGACCGGTCATAGTGGGCGTCCCATTCAACCATTTTTCCAATCAGCTTACCCTCCGCTCTGGGATTCGAAGCCCTTGAACCAGCGCCATTCCACTCGATATCTTAGCGGACGATAGCGACACGCGTACGAGCAACGCTAACTTTCATTCAAGAATAATACTTTCTTAGAAGGGTGGCAACGAGTGACGCGCGAAGAACAAAAGCACGGGAGAACGTCATAGAAAGGTGGAATCAAATTAACGGTCAAATTTCAACACGACGGCATGGCAGCACGTTGCGTACGAATGTTGGAGCTACTTTCGCACGTTCGGATGCTCACTGTAGCATTCGCAATCGTGGCGCTCTCGACTGTTACAGAATCAGCCTCTTACGGCGACACGGGACGAGCAACAGCCACCTTTTATGGCAGCGGCGACGGTGAGATTTCTATTTTTATTATTTCTCGGTCCCAAATCACAACTAACGAACCGCAACGCAGTTACAACCGCACGCTCATCTCACTTTCGTGCAACTTTCTTCTCTTGCCACCTTGATACATTGTAACTTGTTTCGCTCACTCGCATCTCAAATCCCTTCCAATGACGTGCTGACAGGTGGCAATTGCGGATACGGCGTCCTTGCGGAATCCGGCTACGGCCCGCTCATCGCGGCGGGAAGCGCGCCGCTTTACAAGGGTGGGAAAGGCTGCGGCGCGTGCTACAAGTAAGCCACGACTGCTCTCTCCGTAGACTAACCCTCCCTTGAGTAAAAATCATGTTACTTCCCCCTCAGCACAGTCGCCCCATAATTCCCCGCTTTTCCCTCCCCCCTCCGCCCTCCCTCCTCTCTCCGAGTGTGGTGCGTAGACATCTAGTCATACAAGAATACACCCATAATGGTGGTGCCCATAAACCCTCATTTGAGCAACCCCCCCTCTCCCTACTTTCTGCTTCTCTATCTCCGCCGCAGGGTGCGCTGTGTGGACAGCCAGTGGTGCAAGGACGCGGAGATCACGGTACCCATAGTCCCTCATACCCCTTCTCCCACCCCCTCCCCCCTTTCTACTCTGCTCTCTCCTCCGCCGCAGGGTGCGCTGCGTGGACAGCCAGTGGTGCAAGGATGCTGAGATCACGGTACCCATTACAGATTTTTGTCCGGGCGGCGGAGTGTGCTGCGCCACGTGCACGCACTTCGACCTCAGCCAGCCCGCGTTCGGCATCATCGCAGACCCCGTCGCGGGAGTCATTCCGCTCGCCTACCAGAGGTGAGCGCGCATGGCGTCAGTCTCCGGTAGTCTTCGTCAGTGTCCGTCACTCTTCCGTCACTCTCCGTCGGTGTCCGTCCGTCAGTCCGCCAGCCCGCATTTGGCATCATCGCGGACCCAGTCGCGGGAGTCATTCCGCTCGCCTACCAGAGGTGAGCGCGCATGGCGTCAGTCTCCGGTAGTCTTCGTCAGTGTCCGTCACTCTTCCGTCACTCTCCGTCGGTGTCCGTCCGTCAGTCCGCCAGCCCGCATTTGGCATCATCGCGGACCCAGTCGCGGGAGTCATTCCGCTCGCCTACCAAAGTTGAGCCCACGAACTACTGGTTCAACGTGGTTTTTAGTGGAGTCAAAAATAGGTGAGCCCACTAACTACTGCATGAACGTGCTGCTGCTGCGCGTGATCGGGCAGGGGGAGGTGGCACTGGTGGAGGTGTCCTCGAAAAACCCATTTGCTTATCTCTCCTTCCCCTCCCGTGTCCCTCCTCTGTCCCTCCTGTGTTCCTCGCTCTGTATTGGTTCTTTCCCCTCACAGGGTGCCGTGCTCCTTCCCCACGTCCATCACCTTCCGCGTGACCGGCACCAACTACTGGATGAACGTGCTGCTGCTGCGCGTGGGCGGGCCGGGGGAGGTGGCTCTGGTGGAGGTGTCATCTAAGAACGACCCCAACTGGCGCCCGCTCACGCACGACTGGGGCACGAATTGGGTCAGCTGGAGTTACATTGAGGGGCCGCTGAAGTTTCGGCTTACATCGGGGATGGACGGGGCTGTGATTACAACGGGGGAGAATTGCGTTCCAGCGATTTATCCTGGGGATTACACTTGCGGCGCGCAGTTTACGAGTGGGTATAACAGTTCGGATACTAACGGGGATGGCGGGAGTAACAGCAGCGTGGGGAACAATACAGATGTACCGGAGAAAAAGAACGGCGACAATGGCAGTAATGGGAATGCCGCTAGCGGAGACAGCAACAACGCCACGAACAACAGCAGCTCTGCAGTACCTTCCCCGTCAGCAGTGCCCCCAGCAACCATTCCCCCAGCAACCACTCCCCCTGTAACAACCGACCCAGGAACAAACCCCCCAGCAACAACCGTCCCTGCAACAACCGCCCCACCAACAACTGCCCCTGGAACAACTGCCCCTGGAACAACCGCCCCTGGCACTACCGCCCCTGGCACTACCGCCCCTGGCACTACCGCCCCTGGCACTACCGCCCCTGCAACAACCCCTCCTGTCACAACCACCCCTGCCACAACTCCTGGAACCGACAGCTCCTCTTTCGGACGAAGCAGCACTGCTGGTGGCGGCCCCGCCCCCGGTACTCCCGATGCTGACGTGTCCCCTGCCGCGTCAGCATCCTCTCCTGCTCCCGCCGGCCGCAAGGTCAATGCGGGCGGCAGCAACTCCGGCAGCGGCGCCGGCAGTCAGGAAAGTCAAGGGAGTAAAGGTAGCAGCAGCACGGGTAGTGGTGGCAGCAGCAGCACGGGCAGCCAAGGCAGCAGCAGCAGCGGTGGCGGCGGCAACATCAATGATCCCACCATCCCCTCAACCGTCATCCCCCCTCAAACGGGAGAAGACGTTCCTATAGGCTCGCAGACCACAGGGGGTGTGACTATACCGAATGCAAGCTACAGCATTGATTCAAACGGAGGAGCCGCCACCAGCAGCAATGCTCAAGTGGGAGCGGGCGGCACAGCAGCAGCAGGAGCAGTAGGAGCTGGTAACCCTGTAACTGCGGGTAGAGTGAAACGTGGGAAGAAGTGGAGAACTGAAGCAGCACCGCCTAAGAAGCCAGGAGGGGGCCACCCTGCAGGGAAGGGGCACAGAGCTCCGGGTAAAGGGCATCATGTGAAGACCCAGCCTGTCTTGGCTCGGTAACACTTGGCATGGTAACACTTGGCTCGGTAACACTTGGCATGGTAACACTTGGCACGGTAACACTTGGCACGGTAACACTTGGCACGGTAACACTTGGCACGGTAACACTTGGCATGGTAACACTTGGCACGGTAACACTTGGCATGGTAACACTTGGCATGGTAACATGTGGCTTGGTAACACTTGGCTTGGTAACAGATGGCTCGGGAACACTCTCTCGGTACGGTAACACTTGCATTGGTAACACTTGGCTCGGTAACACTTGGCTCAGTGACAGTGGGTTGTCTGCCATTGAAATTGCTCGTCAGAAGGGAGTTCAAGGCTCTACCTTACAGCATGGGACACGAGGACATACCTACATACATATCTTGGACGCATGGATGGTGATTAGAATACAGCAATAGCATACATTTATAGCTGGTTGTAGGTTGCTCGCGTGGCAACCTTGGCCCGTGTAGGATTGTTCGGTGTGGTTCAGGACTAGTTAATCAGTTTGACTCTGCCAAACTTTAGTGTATTAATATATATATATATATATATGGTTATTTCGTCTTAATCATCCCAGTGTTGGCATTAGTATCCCCCCTTGTTCATGTGGCAGGAGCAGATAACGTTCATCAATTTTCCTCCCATCCCAATTCTCCGATTTCAGGGCTTGTGGAAACACAGTGAACCAGCACAATCTCGCATTGCTCAACGAAGAATTGTACAGCCAGATTATTTTCACACGAGTATGGAAACAGACAGCCTACGGCTAGTCATGCTAGCATCCATTTCTGTTCACCTCCTTCCAACACCTTCTACCCCTCCTCAAACTAACACCATTCCACACACTCTCCCACTCTCCTATACGCCTCCATATATCCCATCCCCCCATCTACCCTCTTCCCCACTGGAAAGAGCCACTAGTCGATATCTGGCCCCAGCAGCAGCACCATGCTGTGGTTGTTATATGAGTTGAGTTGAGTTTCGAAGCCCAGTGAAAGTCCTTGTAAATCTCGACCTTTCACCCAGCTTTAAGGGCATTTCGAAATTCGAACCAAACAACCTACTTCGTCTTCACCTTAACGAGCCGCTTCTTAATCTCCGCCTCCAGCAGCGGCACTCCCGTGACACAGCCCCAAAGAAGTTCACACCTTACTCCGTCTTCACCTTAATAAGGCGCTTCTTGATCTCAGCTTCCAGCAACGGCACCACGTACTGGTTAACATAGAACGCCGCGGTTACCGCCCCCGCGTGGCCGGGAAACATGGCATTCGCGAGCGCTTTCGCCGCCTTCTTCGCCGCAGCCCTCACCAACGCCTTCTGCTTCTCCGGGTCCTTGGCCGCCTTGATGGGGTCTCGCATTACCTTAATCGCGTCGAGAACGGCATCGCTCGCCATTTTCGCGGCCTTGTCTTTCATCTTCTTGGCGAGGCTCGTGTCAGGATACGCCTCGAAGATCCGCTTGGGTGCCGGTGATTCGGCCAAGGCGCGCCGGCTGGTGGTAACGCTGGCGCCACGGGTGGTACCATCAGGAGTGATTTGCGTGACGCGGGGAGCCGTGGGATCGGCAGCAGCGACGGTCAGCGCGAAGGCCGCAAGGAGGACGAGGAGAAGAGAGAGGTAGCGGAGAGCCATGGCGGGTTGGGTATTGCGGCGATATGTATGAAGAATTAACGTGAAGCCTAGTTGAGTGTGCACGCGACGTACCGCGAAGTGACTCTGCGATGTGAAAAAAACTTGCGAGGAAGCTAAATCCTGATGTGGGAGATTCGAATGCCTGTGAGAAGTTGGATGGGCCTCACAACTGAACTGCTAGCATTTATATATTTCCAGAGGCATGGATGTGCAACCCCGACGGATGCCCATTGGCGGGAGTGATAAGGGGGCTCACCAGAGCGACGCGAAGAGAGACGGCGTAGCATGCGGCGTTACAGCAAGCCATGAGCCAGGAGCTCCTGTCAAGCGTCGCATGGAATAATGGCGACGAATTTTGAAAAGGGCAATAATTATCCCGAATTTCCTTCGACAAGGAGATGGGGGTTGCGAAGTAGGCTGTGGTGGACTGTGGTTTCGTCGCCCGCTTGACGCGGAGCGAATTTTGATTGGTCTTTCGCAGCCGCGTGATGCGGAGCGAGCTTTGATTGAGCTTGTGGCTGGCCGCGTATCGCGGTAGAAAGCAGAAAGTACATTACACGGAGCAATGAAACAACTCTTATGTGTGCATTAACTTTGACAGATAATTAGCACCGGATTGGGGCTATACGTGACATAAGAGTACATTTATTATGTTTTTATGGTAGAAAACTACCATTTTCTTCATTTTAAATGATCTGCCATGTGGGCAGAGTAACCTTTTCAGATGTGTTATTGTGTTTTTATTACATTCTGTGAAGTGGCTGTGACCCTACACTGTAAACAGTAAACGGTGTCCCCGTGACGGAGGACTCATGTGTCCCCGCTGTCATAAACCCTCATCCCTCGCACGCACTAACGGTGTCCGTTGGATCAAGCTTTCAAGTTTCTTCTGGCGTCTTCTCTTCCCCTGTTCCTCTTCTCTTCCCCACGTTCACCCATCCATTCCTCCCGTGGCAGTCCTTCTGAGGCAGTACCTCAGAACCCCGCAACCCTATTTTGGCTCCAACAGCCACGGGCTTTTCCTTTTCCCGTAGTTCCATTTCTCTCACCTCTTCCTCGCCTTGTGGGCAGTCTCCTTAACAGCCGCCGCCATGGGTCGTATGCACAGTCACGGGTCAGTAGATTCTAACCGCGCTTTTGTTCCTTGTTTTCTCAGTTTGTTAGAGTTGGCACGCTGACGCGCGTAGTTCGCGTTTTGTGCACTCGTGATTGGGTTGATGCAGAAAGGGTATTTCGCGCTCCGCCCTGCCCTACAAGCGCACTCCTCCAAGCTGGTTGAAGATCTCAGCCCCCGAGGCACGTGCTTTCTCTCCTTACCCCAATTTTCATACATTGTTTCGTTCGCCTCTCCTAAGAGATCAACCCTAAAACCACGAATAGGCGTACCAGTGTGGGTTAATAGACGATTTTTTGTTCCTGGCATACGAGAGACCTTCTGGAAATACGCATTTCCCGACGCTCTGTGTTACGATTGTCGTGCTTCGATGACCCTGGCACACGCTCTTACTACCTAGCACATCCGCAAGCTCGCGACGAATTGGTCGATTCCTCATCGTTTCACGCTTTCGTCTCAAGTGTCTCACTCATTTGCTTTTCCGTCCGCTCGTTGCCATCATCCTATGCCAGGTCGACGAGCACATCTGCAAGCTCGCGAAGAAGGGTCTGACGCCGTCGCAGATCGGCGTCATTCTGAGGGACTCGCATGGTATCGCGCAGGTGTCCGGCGTCACGGGCAGCAAGGTCCTGCGCATTCTCAAGGCTCACGGTACCTGACCTGAAAACTCTTCTCTGCGGGGGTAAACCCCCCTCGAATATTCCTACGTCCCTTTCTGTAAGCTTCACTGCGGGCCGCACGGCCGGAGCAGTGAGCGGTCAGAGGGCGTTTTCGGTATGTGCCGCTCCATTCCTCCATTGCGCTCGGGCGCTCGTGTTCGTCCAGGCTCCTAATAGAAATTGCTGGTTCCGGGTTTTGGTTACGCTACAGGTTGATGCTTTTTTTCTGTGTCAAATGTTTTGGATTCGGAACCCATCAGCTTTTTCCACTTGCAATCGCCCTGGGTCAAGTTTCTGAAATCTATGTAGAAAAAGGCCCCTGCCCTCAATGAATCTTCCCTTTTTCTTCACCCCCCTCAGGCCTGGCGCCCGAGATCCCCGAGGATCTGTACCATCTGATCTAAAAGGCGCTTGTTCCGCAATGTTCCCAACCGTTATTAATCCTTCCCCACCCCTCTCTTCCCCATTAATAGGCCTGGCACCTGAGATCCCCGAGGATCTGTACCATTTGATCAAGAAGGCGCTGGCGGTGCGCAAGCACTTGGAGCGCAACCGCAAGGACAAGGACTCCAAGTTCCGCCTCATTCTCATCGAGAGCCGCGTACACCGCCTCGCGCGCTACTACAAGTGGACCAAGAAGCTGCCGCCCAACTGGAAGTAGTGAGTGCATTTTTCTGCTGAGGTTTTCTTCCCTACATTTCTCCCTTACATTTCTCCCTCCCCCACCTTCTCTCTCCCCCGCCCCCCCTCCCCCATTCTCTCTCTACACTCTCTCTCACTCTATTCTTTGTGTGAATTCGGCTCTATGGGCTCAAACCGTCGTTGCTGCTTGCACTTGGCGCCATAAGCTGACACGTGAACCTAGAAGCAATGGGTACCGTGCATGCAAGGGTTCCGAGAGCCATGCTGCATGTATGACCCTTCTAATTGATATCTCATCCTTGCCATCCCATCTTTTCTCTCTACTTCTTGATGTCCTTGCAGCGAGTCCGGCACTGCCAGCACCCTCGTTGCCTAAGCAGGAAACCGGGATGCTGTCTCTGCTCTTGGAGATATTGGTTTGGTCTGGCCGGACCTGGGTTGCAGTGTTTAGCTTGGAGCATTGACTGTCAGGCTGTTGTATGTGGAGTGCCTTCGAAAGAACATTACTGTCCATTTCGGTTGGAACACTATTAAAATCCAGGTTTGAGCTAAGGAATCAAACCAAGTAAGGAAATAATGAGAGAATATTGAAATGTTTCTCTCATTGGAACATATACTGATATCTCCAATTTAGTTGGCATGTGATTTTTTTTAAAAGGTAATTGTTATATCCACCGAAAGGACAAGCATACATAAGCAATAGCAGTCGTAACGGTGCTAACAGTTGGCTTGTGATCAATTATCAGATTGTTATTGAACAACAATTTGCATTATACTGTGACAGTATAAATCTAGTAATAATATAGAGAGCATAACATTACCTAAAGGTGTTTGTTGTGATTAACTACACTCGCACAGGACACATTCCTAACTGGGGTTGAGCCTAACGAGAGTTCGGGGGAGAGACGAGTGCGGCAACATCCTCATCCCAATCCGACGAGTATTCTGGTTCAGGCTCGGCGACAAATGCAGGCTCGGCCGGCAGCAGCGCCTGCTGCGAAACGATCGACAGCATCTTCATCTCCTCGTCGTCGCCCACCACCAGCTCGCGAATGCCCTCGTGCAGCGACACCAGCTCCTGCACAGCCATGGTGAGGGAGTGAAGATAAGACTAACACATTGAGGAGACGTGCAGGAAGGCGTGATACCAGCAGGGACGGGTATATGCGAACTAAGGATACAAAATGTGAAGGGGCAAGGGGACACCAAGGATTCGGAAGTCCGGGGTAGAAGGGTGTTAGGGAGGGGAGGGCGCTGAATTTTCGTACCGCGGCGTTGTTGCGCGCGGATTGCGCGATGACATCGAGGGCGAGAATGGGGAACGGATTCTCGATAATCACGCCGACCTCCTCGATGCAGAAAAAGACCCCCGCGCACATGGCGGTGACGGGGATCGTGAGCCAGCCGAGGGGGTCCCAGAGCGCGAGAGGCAGGAACATGTGATAGAGCACGAGGAATCTCGAGGTGAGCCGCGTGTAAGAGAGTGGGATGGGCGTTTTGAACAGCCTCTCGCTGCCTCCCACGTCATCAGCGAACGTGGCGAAGTTGGCCTCCTGAAAGTGCAGAGTTTGAGGAAAGAACATTAGGCAATGTCAAACATAAATACTGGAAAGCCACTACCATAGTAGGCTTGTGCAATACATGTGATAATACATGAACCAGAGCGTGTATCGACACGTACCATAGCGAGGCGGTGCGCGGGCTCCATGGTGCAGGAGCGCATGCATTCCGACATCATCTGCAGCACGTAGTTGGGGCGATGCGTCGCGCCCAGCACGCCCTTGATCTCCGCGTCGCTCAGCGTCGTGAATTGCTGCGGGGGGGAAATTCGAAGCGGGGAGCAAGCGGGCGCACGGAAAAGGAATGGATTGGGAAGGGCGGGATAAAATGTTCTAAAACCAAGCAGCCGAAAATTCTGTAGGGGATCTGCCCCGCCTAGTAGCTCAGATTCCTAGCGGATATGTTTCCTTACCGATTGTTTTTGACATCCATTCAAATTGACGAGCCTACTAAGACGAAACACTTACCCGGAGATCTTCCTCGAGCGAGCCTTCCTGGAGGAAGTGGTGCTTGTACGCGAGCGGGAACGCCTGCAGGTGCCGGATGAACTGCGCGCGCTTCGGGTACTCGTACGTGTGGTCGTCGCGCGCCATGTACGACAGCGCCTGTCGCGTGATGTCGCGCGAGCGATTCAGCATGAGCCCCCACATTTTGCGCGCCTCGTCGAACCGCCCGTAGCTGGAGTTGGTCCGGAAAACCAGGAGGAAGGAGAGCGCTGGCGCCGTGAGGGTGAACGGGAGGTTGGAGATGTGGAGTATATGAGCCCATTCTGGGAGCGCGCCCATGCCTGCGAGCTCGTTCCACCCGCAAATTGCGGTTGCGATGCCGGTCATGACGCCGACGGGCAGGCCGAGCGCGCCGATGACCTTGGAGGTGAGGATGGTCTTGATGTGGCGGAAGTAGCGCCCGCTCGACTTATGCTTCTGCGCAATGTCACGCGGAATGGGGGCAACGCGGGATGGGAGTGAGGGGAGTGAGCGGAAGGGGGAGGTAGCATGCGCGAGTTCAAAAGGGAACCAGGCCTAACACGAATCACGCTAAAGCGGGAAAATAATGCTGCTTTTTTGGATCGTTGGATCCAGATCGCCCAAATCGCGCCACGGACCTTCCACTCGTCATGGCCGAAGACGACGCGGCGTCGAACCAGCGAGTCGAATTTTGCGGCGTCGATGGAGCTGACATCCACCAGCGCCTTCACCACCAGCGGCTTCCGCCCCTTGCGCTCCGTCGCTTGCGCGCGTCTGGCGGCGTGCGGCTGCGCGCGCGGAACCTTCCGCAGAGAGACGCGGCGGAGGGAGCCATCTTCCCACTGCTGCGGATCAGCGGCGCGCGCGTTGGCGCTGGCTTGGGAGGGGGTGAGCAGCTTGGAGCCCCGCGAGGCAAAGCTTACAGTCGCCATTGTGCGCGACTTAGGACGAAGCCCTCTGCTTTGGTACCAGAAGTGTCAGCCTGAGGAAACCCAAATTACGGAGGTTGGTTCTACAAAAATAGTTCACTTCTGCACGATTTGTACCATCACACACTCGAAAACTGGTGGGCGTTTGGAGTGCAGTTGACACCCAAACCAACTGTGAACTTCAGAGAGGTGGGCGAGATACGTTCGGGACGAATACCGCGGTGCGGGAGTCCAGGATGCGATGAATTTTGCTTACATTGGCGGTCAACGCGGAGGTCTGGGGGATTGGTGGTCATGGTGGGGGGCTAGAACGACGGGTCGCACATCGATCTCAATGACGAACGGCCAGCGTGTTGTGATGCCACGTGGTGGTTGGAGACTGGAGAGTTCAGCCTACTTCCACTCGGATGACAGCTTCTCAAGGCTCATCCATCAACGTGACTAGGCGAAGGTGTACGACTTCCAGAAACCGTCTATAGCGGAGGCAACAAAATATGTAACAAGTTCCACCAAAACAACCACACAATTACAACTTGATCTCACAAGAACCACCATGACAGAATACAAAACAAACAATACTAGATTGTTCAGATCATGTGCAGATATTGATATGTTTGGACCTTACCATGTCTGCTATCGATAATGCCTATGAATACCATCTCAACAGTTACAAAATATCTTACATCATAGATAGTCCCTAACTCTACCATACTTTTATATTCGAACTTCTACATTCCCAATTTTAGTTCTAAACAGTCATTAAATCTCCTAGGAGTACGCACTAGTCTTCCAGACCTAGTCACGGTCACAACTTCCCAATCCCATGCATGAGAGCTGCTGCCTCGTTTACAAGAACCACAGAATATATTCTTCTCCCTAGCACTCTGTGCAGTTTCAATCTCCAGACTGCATCCTTCCAAACCTGTCTCACTCTGCCCAGATACCTCCTCACACACCCAGCTCCTCTCCTCATCCACTCCACTCCCCTCCTCTTCACACTCACACATCATGTCCGTACTGCTCCCTGCTACTCCCCACCTCCGCAGTATCCGCCGCCGGGCACGGCCCTTCCTGGCCCACACGGGGAAATCAACCAACCCAATACCACCCCTTCCGTCTGGCAGAGCAACAGCTGCTGCTGGCAAAGCCCCACTGCTGGTGCTACTTCTAGTGCTGCACGCCCCTGACTTCCACGCCTGCTGCAGAGCACGACCCTTCCTAGCCCACGTCCGTGGCCTCCTAGCGCGGCCATTTATGCCCCACGCGAGGAACCCGTGAATCCTGTCGGTGCTCGTGTCAGTGCCGGCGTCCGTGTCAACGTTCGTGTCAATGCGCGAGTCAACCTTGGTGTAGATGCCCGTGTCAGCGGGGTATCCGCTGTGGGATGGTGAACCAACGCCAGCAGCAATCGCGGAAGTTACTGCTGACGCGCCATCACTACGAACAAGCACCTTCTCGCTTCGTACCACGACTTCTTTCAAACAAGGGTCACCACAAAAAAAGTTAGGACATCTTGCCCTGCGTTCGCCTTCAAGCCCATCAACCACCGTGAAGCCCCTTCCCACACACTCCTCTATCGGATCATCTACAACCGAGGCGGTTTCCGAGGACAACGCAGAAGCTGATGGAGTTTTCCCAATATAAGTCGCATCATTCACATTGGCCTGTGTTTCTGCGTTGTCGGAGTTGTCTTCACGGATTGTATTGGGTCCTGAATGGGTGGTTGGGAGGATGAATGTTAGGAACGACGAAAGGTAACATATCGCTGGTGTTACTAAGCGCTGAGAACGTGTGTGCGATAGAACATAAAAGCGATGGGCCTGCTGAAAGGAAACCTACCGAGACATGGAGAAGCAGATCGCCCGTATGATGGAGCCACGTTCACACACGGCTCTGCCGAAATAACCAGTTGTTCCCCGACACCGGCGGAAGTGGCCTCTTCTATTTCGAAAAGCTCTGGAAAAACGGTCTTGACATTGTCGAATATCTCGTCCGCTTCACCCAGCCCGAGTGAGGCGGTGTCACTGACGGTGTCGTCGTCTTCGTGATTCCTGCAGCGTTGCGTTCCACGTACCGGCCGTCGGATCAACGCGGCGTTGACGTCAGAACCAATATGCATAAGAAAAATGTGGGGACGTGCGAACTGGAGGGACAATGATGATGACTTCGTTTACAACGGCTGGGTGCGGTGTGACTGTGATACGGTGACAATATCTTGCCATTGCAAGTTCGGGGGCGGATACGCACCCATCGGCCAATGCAGCGGCGGAGTATCGCGCAGGATAAACCATGTGGCTTGCGTAACCAGCGGAAGAACGACTGACGCTTAAGAATTGGCGTTAAAGAAATACCTTGCTGGAAAGTGCCAGGCAGCGGGATCGAATATGTCGGTTGTAAGGCAAACATGGCGAGGTCTGTCTGGAAAATGCCAGGCCGTGAATGTTAAGGGAGGTAGATGCAACACCCCTAGGCGCTTTGAATGAGAGTTGGAGTGGGAGGGCCTCAGGGCAGGACTCAGCTGGTTCGGGGGGAAGGAGATGGCTGGCTGTAGAAGTGCCGGGGATTTTGGCTTGGATTCGAATTTTGAATTTGGCATTTGAGTATCGGTACGACTTGAATTCAAATAACCCGAATCGGGTTCCGAACTAAGGCTGCACCACTTTTGCAAATGTGAACGACCACAAGCCTAACGAAGACAACACAGATAAAAAGTATGACACACCACTTTTGTTAGCGGGCTCCCCCTGCTCGACCACCCCCAGATGGCTTCACATCTCCTCGCCATTGCAGTTTCAGCACGGCCGATGTACCTGGCCCGGACTATGCCGCCGCGTCCGGAGGTGGTGGAGGCCTTCAGGGATTGGGATAGCTGTCTGGAGGATTGCTTTGAGCAGCTTTTCCCACCTGGCACTTGGGAGCATGACCCCGACCGGTCTAGGCGCGCGCGCATGCAGCTGCATCTCCCTGTGCGACTCGGAGGGTTTGGGATCCGGGCAGCAGCCTCTTTGAGTCCGCTGTCCTATGTTTGTGGGTGGGCGCAGGCCGCTCGGCTCGTGACGATGCCACCCTAGCCCGTTTGACATCCCTTCAGGGCCCGGGGGCTGGTGCATGGGTTTCGGCGGTTCCGGCCCACTCAGATCTCACATTCACTGCGGCGGAGTGGGGCATTGCTGCTGCTATACGGCTCGGGCTCCCAATTCAGCAGCTACAGGTGGCGGGGAGGTGTGTTTGTGGCACAGCATATGTTGACCCAGCAGACCCGCATCATGCCCTGAGATGCAAGCACCAGCATGGTCCATCTCGGGTACATGATGAGGTGAAGTTTGCGGTGGCGAAGATCTCTAAGGCATCTGGGGGGGTGGTGACAATGGAGGATAGTGTGGTGCTGCAGGGGAAGCGGGTTGATGTCGCGGTGCGACGACCAATGGCTGGAGAGGCTCACGCCCTAGACATCAGCGTCGCGGACCCGCTATCGCTGTTTCCATCTTTGCTAGGTCAGTGCGGGCGTCAAATAGGCGTGGCGGCAAGAGAATGGGAGCGTCGTAAAACGAGCGATTACGCGCCTCTGCTTGCACGCAACCGGGGCGTGCAGTTTACTCCTCTGATAGTGGAGACGTGGGGGTGTCTCGGCGGTCGCTTTCGGAGGTGGCTTCGTCAGCAGGGAGATGCGCACGTGGGGCTAGCTGTGTCGCGGGGGGCTTGTCGGGAGGACGACACTGTGTTTTCGGCTTATCTTCTAGGGTCACTGAAGGCGCTCATCGGGGTGGCGTTGCAACGTGCGCAAGCCCGTGTCATCCTGCTTCGAGCGGCGTCTTCTATGGGGGGGATTAACGTTGACTTGGTGGACCGGGAGTGGGACGATGGCGATGCGGAAGGCGGGGCTCTCTGGGTGGAGGCCCCGTACATGGTGGATTCGCTGTTGTGATTGGGGGGGGGGGGGGGGATGGGGTGTGGGATGGGATGTCTTGACAGGGTGTCTTGACTGGGCGTTTTGATTGGGTATCTTGAGGGGGGGTTTTATGTGTGTTGCATTTGGGTTCTTCTCGGCGGTTTCACTTTCCTTCTCCCTTTCTCTTTTCTTTTCTTTTCTTTCAAAAATTTAGTAACCTGTCCTGGCACAGCCGAAGTTGGTCCCAGTGAGTGTGTACACGTAAAATACTTACAAGAGTCTCGCCAGGGTTACCCTACTTTTGTCAGCTCAACCCCATCAAAATCATCTTTCTTTGTTCTTAACCCAAACATAATCATATTAGGGGTGTATGTATGGGAGTGTAATAGAGAGTAAGGAAGCATAAATTTTATAGCGAACCTCGTACCTTACATCCGCTTCCCTCTCTGCCCGCATTGTACGCATCACGAATTCGCCATTCACACGCCGATGACTAATGGCCCTGTTCGACAGGCAGGCAACTCCTTGGAGAGCTAGGGTAAGGCTAGAGCTAAGAGGAGTTTTCGAAGTAACTTCTCCTAGGCTACCCCCCCCACCCACGAAATCGGAAGCAGCGCCTCCCGAGGTCGAAAGGAGGGGGTCGTCATGGCGATGTTGCAACCCCATCTTCCACCGTCTTCATCATGGCCAGGGTCTAAATTTTTTTATAGGGATGGCATGGGATGGGAACTTGGGTAACTTAAGGGAATAAAAAAGATTGAAGTGGAGAAGTGAGGGTACATTCTTGGCTCGTGTCTGACATGAGGTCAGACACGAAGTGAAGTTGAGGGAGACCCGAAGTGAGCTGGAACTCTGGCAAATCAATGTTCGGAAGACCCGAAGTCCAAACCTCCACTTCGTGTCTGACACGAGATAGGAATGTACCCTGAGAGTCGTGCGTGGCTGGTGGCTGGTTTGGCTGTGTGAGGAAGGGACTTTTTCAGGGCAGAGATGGGAGAAACGAGAGCATGGGCACTGGTGGGAAAACTTTCGTAGGTTAGGGGGTGGGTATACCCTCCCGTATGGAACCCTAGCCCAGCCCTTGGCCAAAGTCTGTGCGCGAGAGAAGGAGCTGGGAGCTTTCGGGGGGGATGAAGTTGAAGGGTTAACGTCGCGTTCGACAGGCTAACCCTTAAAACCGGAGGTCCAAGAGTTTCTAAGCTAGGAAGGTTGAAAGGGGAGAGGGTGGTGTCGAAATTGGTGGTCTGGGGTCGCAAAGGAAGAAAACTTCGCGAAAAGAACCAGATCTGGAATGCAACGTCAGAACTGGTTCGCAGACAGTTTCGGACGGGCTTCAATTTTGTTGGCGAAATCGTCATTGCTTTCGTCCTTGCTAGAACAGTAGTTCCGCGTGACGAAAATTGTCCCCCCAATTTGCGAAGTGAGTCGTACCTACTGGGTCACCCCTTCTCAAAGTTAGGAAGGTTGAGGCACTTTGGGGCTGTTTGGGACTCCGGTTTTAACCCTTCAGGTTGCAGGGCGTTAAAGCCGAGTGACACCAATTTGCGGGCTGACCATGGGGAAAAAACCCAAGTGGAAACAGCCGTGATGATTCCGCGGAAGGGCTTGCCTGCCTGTCGAACAGGGCCATTATACAATGAGAGTCGATGTGATTTCCATTCATCCTCGCTACGTAGTATAATCAATGATTGAGAAAGCTTGCTTTCTTATTCTTATCAATTGGGATCGTTCTCATTACAAATGGCTTATTACACCATTTGCATCAACGTTGAACACAAGCTAGTGCAATCGAATAACACTAGCTAAGATGTACCCTATCGAAGTGGCATTAACAAGGCGGTTTACTCTGGGGCGGGTGGTGGGAAATGAACTCCAACCCACGTTTTTTGTAGTTGGAAAAGGGCGTTTATTGCGCTTCGACGATGCCAATTGTGCAGTACAAGCAGCTTCGCTTTCATAATACACAAATTAAAAAAACACAATGTAAGTTTAAAAATTGTAATATTGTAAGCACCCACCAGGTTCGGCGCTCACCCGCAACTTGCGGCGGGTAACAGGACTACTCCCATTTCTTCTCGCTACGTAGGATGGCAGTTGTCAGAACACGCAACTTGGGCGCTCACGCCGCAACTTGCGGCAGGTTACGACGAACTTGCTGCTGCGGCGCGCACATTCTGGAGCTAGTAGCTCACCCTCCGTTCTTCCGTTGCTATAAAAGTGCCTGCGTCAGCCTGTTTATGAGCATCAATTCCACATCGACAATCCCCCCGTTTGCGAGTCATTCACACCGACTGACACCGTGAGACATTTGAGACATTCCAAGAGTGGTACTCAACGGCAGTTCGCATAATCTTTTCAAATTTTGCAACAAATCTCCAGGCTCGCACCCTTTTTCACATTTCTCTCTTCAAGTTTGCTTGCCATGGCTATCCGCGGCCTTTTCCTCGTCGCGCTTCTGTCCGTATCGGTGCTCGCACCTTTGACCCTTACCACCACGGCCGCCGCGCTTCGCGGCACTCCAGAAAACCGACTCTCGACTGCGACTACGGCTAGCACTATTGGCGCGATTCGCGGTAAAACTGTTGCTAGCAGGCGCTTCCTCGCGGATTCCGGTTTTGTCCCCATGCCGCCGAGCTCTCCCAAGGCGAGCATGGTGCAGAGGGCCGGCAAGGCTTGGGTAGATGCTGCCGAAGCATGTGCGAAATTCATTACCGACAACTTGACTAAGAAGAACGTGGCAAAGCTGGTTGCTGGCACGGTGGTTTTGGGTGGCGGGATGGCTGTGTGAAACAACTGAACGAGAATGAATGAAATATGAATGAAGTGAGTACAAATATGAAACCCTAATTGGGTTGTACCCCCTATGGGATACCCCACTATAGCCTACACAAATAAGTAAGCTATAATGTTCTGACACACCCCCATAGGCAAAGTGGGGGAGAACAAGGGGTCACAAGACCAGTCAAGCAAAGCAAAGCAAAGCTCAGGGTGGATCACAAAGTCACCACACATTCCGAGCGCAAGGTCAAGGGCCACAAGGCCAGTTCGCATGCAAGATCATATATAGAGATATACAAGAGGCAAGCAAGCAAGAGCAAGAGTATATATAGGTCAAGGTACAAGCAAGGTCAAGAAGTGAGAAAGTGAGGCAAGACAGGCACAAGACCCAGCGGCGTGCAGCAACGCTGATGATCACAAGGCGCAAGTGCCTTGGTGAAGACATCAGCAGTGTTGGCCTCAGAGGCCACGTACGCAAGTCGCAACTGTCCACGCTGCTGCAGCTCACGAGCAAGAAAGTAGCGGAGAGCAATGTGCTTTGTCCTGTGCTCCAGTCGCTGCTCTCGACACAAGGCCAGCATGGCCTTGTTGTCTACGTACAGGACTGGAGGAGAACGAGGCGGCTCTCCAAGGTCGGTCAGCAGGTAGGTGAGCCAGCGAAGCTCCTGAGCAGCCATAGCCCCGGCGTAGATCTCAGCCTCACAACTGGAGCCGAGAACAGAAGACGAGCGAGTAGCCTGCCACGAGACAGAGCCGGAACCAAGGCCGAAGGTGTAACCCTGTGACGACCGCTGCGTAGCCTGGTCGTCAGCCCAAGAAGCGTCCGCGTGCCCAGTGAGGACCACCGGACTGCGCCCTCCAAGCACTAGCCCCATGCCCGACGTACTGCACAAGTAGCGCAACACCCTCTTCGCTGCAGCCATGTGCTCTGGTCGGTGTCTCCCAGGAGCAACATAGCGTGCGAGAATGCTGAGAGGGTATGCAAGGTCAGGTCGTCTGCAGGTCATCAGGTACACGAGGCAGCCAACAAGCTCTGCATACGGGCCACTCGACTCTACGGACTCATCCGAAGGCAGAGCTGAGAGCGAGTGGCGAGTAGGCAGAGGAGTGGCCTGAGGCGAGGAGTACGTGAAGCCGAAGCGCTGAAGGACGTGCTGCACCATGTGTGACTGAGTCAGGGTAATGGTGCGGCGTGCTCTGTCCCGGGTGATCTGCAAGCCAAGGTAGCTGCGCAGTTCACCCAGATCAGTGCACGTGTGTCTCTTCTGCAGCTCGGACTTCACGTAAGCGAGTCCAGCAGTGTCCGCTGTGGCAAAGACCAAGTCGTCGACGTACACGAAGATGTAGAACGGCGGCAGAGAGGTGTCGGTGCGCAGAAACAGCGACGGGTCGGCAGTAGAAGGAGCAAACCCAAGTGCCGCAAGCGTAGTCCTCAGTGTGTCGTGCCACTCACGTGGCGCCTGGCGGAGACCGTAGACTGGACGCCGGAGACTCCACTGGGTACCAGGAGGGAAAGACCCAGTGAAGCCAGGTGGGCGACGCAGCCAGATCTCCTCGTGCAGGCTGCCCTGCAAGAAAGCTGTGCTGAAGTCGAGAGAGTGCAGCTCGTAGTCACGGTGAGCAGCAACGTGCAGCAGTACCCGAAGAGTGGTCATCTTCGGGGTGGGGGAGAAGGTCTGAAAGTAGTCAACCCCCTGCCGCTAACTGAAGCCACGAGCCACGTAACGCGCCTTGAAGACAGGCGGAGAACCCGGCGGCCGCTTCACCCTGAAAATCCACATGCCACTGACGATGTTCGCCCCAGGAGGGGGAACAGCGTCGACGTAGGTGCCTGTGGACTTCCAGGAAGCCATCTCTGCATCCATAGCTGCCTGCCACTGAGAGGAGTAGGGATCCTCTATCGCCTCCGCGTAAGAGCGCGGAGTCGGGATGTCTAGTGCATCCGGGTCTCCCTCAGGGGCTAGCAGTACAGACGCGAGATGAGGTGAAGCGGCGGCCAGACACTGGAACTCCTCCTGCCTGTCCTCAAGGATGTCCGTGCCAAAGGCACACTCACCCCCGACGGACGGAGGACAGGCAGACTCAGACTCAGCGACAAGACTAGCAGCGTAGTCTAGACGATAGCGCGCAGCAAAGTCGACGAGCTCAGTGACAAGGGCAGACCCAGCAAAAGACTCGAAAGAAGGGTCAGTGACAGCAGTAGCAAGGAGACGCGTGACAGTAGGACTGGCAGCACGAAGAGAGTCCGACTCCGGGTC